GTTTTGTTCAGAAATTGGATGCCAGTTCCGATTTCCATGAGGGTATTTCCTTCATTTTCTAAGGTTCTTATGGTTTGAGGTTTTACATTTAGGGTCTCTGATCCATTTGGAGTTAACCTTTGTGCATGGGGATAGATAGGGGTCCTGTTTCAATCTTCTGCATGTGGTCAGCCAGTTTTCCCAGCACCATTTACTGAATAGGTTCTCCTCTCCCCAGTGGTAGGTGGTGGAGCGTTTGTCGAAGATGAGTTGGTTGAGAAATTGAGGTTTTGCTACTGGAATCTCAATTCTATTCCATTGTTCTATATGCCTGTTCCTATACCAATACCAAGCTGTATGGATGATTGTAGCTTTATAGTAAAGTTTGAAGTCTGGTAATGTGATACCACCTGCTTTGTTTTTTTTTTGCTAAGGATTGTTCTGGCTATTCTTGGACGTTTGTGTTTCCATATGAATTCCTGTGTTGTCTTTTCTAGGTCTGAGAAGAATGTTGCTGGTAATTTGATGGGTATTGCATTGAATTTGTAGATTGCCTTAGGTAAGATGGACATCTTCGCAATGTTGATTCTTCCGATCCATGAGCATGGGATGTTTTTCTACTTGTTTGTGTCAACTTTGATTTCTTTGAGCAGTGTTTTGTAGTTTTCCTTGTAAAGGTCTTTCACGTCTCTGGTTAGGAAGATGCCAAGATATTTCATTTATTTTGTGGCTATTGTGAATGGAATTGTGTTTTTTATTTGGGTTTCTGTTTGTTTATTATTGGTGTAGAGAAATGCGATTGTCTTTTGTACATTTATTTTGTATCCTGTGACTTTGCCAAAGGCCTTTATCAGTGTAAGGAGGTTTTTGACAGATTCTCTAGGGTTTTCAAGGTACACAGTCATATCATCTGCAAAGAGAGATAACTTGACTTCCTCTTTTCCTATTTGGATAGCCCTGATTGCCTTCTCTTCTCTGATTGCTCGAGCCAGGACTTCCAATACTATGTTGAACAGGAGGGGTGAGAGTGGGCATCCTTGTCTTGTTCCAGTTTTCAGGGGAAATGGTTCTAATTTTTGTTCATTTAGGAGTATGCTGACTGTGGGTTTCTCATAGATGGCTTTTACTATTTTGAGGTATGTTCCCCATATGCCTAGATGTTCAAGAGTTTTTGTCAAGCAGGGGTGCTGGATTTTATCAAAAGCTTTTTCTGCATCTAGTAATATAATCATGTGGTTTTTGTTTTGACATCTGTTGATGTATTTAATAACATTTATGGTTTTACGAATGTTGAACCAGCCTTGCATCCCAGGGATGAAGCCTACTTGGTCATGATGGATGATTTTTGAGATGTATTGCTGAATCCGGTAGGAAGAGCTTTTAAAAGCCTAATAAAAATTAGCTGGGCATGGTGGCGCATGCCTGTAGTTCCAGCTGCTTTGAAGACTGAGGTGGAAGGATCGCCTCAGCCCAGCAGGTTGAGCTGTGTTGGCGGTGAGCGTGCCACTGCCCTCCAGCCTGGGCAACAGCATGAGACTCCAACTAAAAATAAAATAAAATAAAATAAAAATCCAATAGGAGTACAGCTATGCCTGCTTCATATATCCTCTCGCCTTCAATTTCTACTTCACGTAGGCAACCACTTTCAATTCATTTAGCTGTCTTCTGGTGTTTATTCTCATATTTTATACAACTATTTCACTTATTTGGTTTATCAGTTTTAGATATCACCATGCTAATAAAGTTGGAGTTCGGAAATGTTATCCCCAATACCTGTTTTTCCCTCCTGCTTTCTGATACTAGTTACATCACTGCTTTTTAAAGTTAAATCATTTGTCAGCCTTTTCATAATTATGGCATTGTAAGTGTTATTGATGGTGAATCATGTGATCTACTATGATCCTGTTTGGTTTCTTAAATAACTTTTTGCTTTTCCTTGAGTTGATGTCTCCTTTAAACAGAAACATGATACTTAGAAGTCTAGGTAGGAAGTAATTTGGGGTCATGATGATGCATTGCTTTGTAGTCTCATGCCTTTTTGATGTGATAAATCTTTTTATTTCCCTTTATATGATAATCAATTTTTAAAAAAACATTTAGGATCCTCTTTTTACCCCTGGCTGATATTTCACATTGATGTGCTTTAACAGAGATCTTTTTTTAATTAAATGTTCTTTATTATACTCAGTGGGCCAGTTAAGTATGCAGACTCAATCTGTAGTTCTGGGAAGTTTTCTTATATTTGTTTTTTGTAAATGGTCAGCCTTCATTTTTTTTCATACTTTCTTTGGATCTGCTTTAGTAGGTGTTGAATTTCCTGGATTTTTATACTGATCCACTAATTTTCCAATCATTACTCTCTTCCTTTTTCTAATTCTAGATTTTCTAGACTTTTTTCTCCAACATATTGAATTTTTTTTTTGTTTTTTTGAATTGGAGTGGCAGTGGTGCAATCACGGCTCACTGCAGCCTTGACCTCCTGGGCTCAGGCAATCCTCTGCCTCAGCCTTCTGAGTTGCTGAAATTACAAGGACATGCCACCAAGCCCAGCTAATTTTTTTTATTTTTTTTTTATTTTTATTTTTTTAGAGATGAAGTCTATGTTGCCTAGACTGGTCTCAAACTCCTGGGCTCAAGCAATCCTTCTGCCTTGGCCTCCCAAAGTGCTGGGATTACAGGTGTGAACCACCCCGCCTGGCCTCCACAACATAGTTTTTAAGGTCAGTATCCTATTGTTTATTTTCAAAAGCACTTCTTTATAGAACTTTGTTAATATTTCATTGCTTTAATAATCAACTAGTAGCTTTCTATTATTTAATATAGAGTTATGTTTGTGTTTTTCTCTCATTTGCCTTGTATTTTTTTATTTGTTTTTATCTATCTTTCATCCAGTGTTTTATGACCTTTGGCGCTTCATTAATATTTAACATTGAGGTACCAGAAAGGTTAATATGATCTCTGTGTACATGGGTGGCGCTTGTGAAATAGTAGTTTTCAGTGTGCAGCAATCAGTCAGGAATATAAGTGTTTCTTTCATATTATTACAGATGTTAGTATCTGTAGGTATTCTCGTGGTCTTCTTGTTTGTTTCCGGAAAGCATTCTTCTATCATCTGATGCCTGGCAACCACCTATATTCTAGGAATCTAACAGTAGAAAGGCCATTATTATATGCATAAACTTTTAGTCATCCTTTTCTTCTTAATATGTTTCTCTCATCTACTTTGCCTGTCATCACTAAATTTGGAGCCTCTTGGTTTTAGTTTGTCTGGATAATAAACTTCCTGTTTCTATCTAGCTAGGATAGTTGAGGGCATCAGTTGCTCCTTTTATAATCATTTTACATTCCCCACCACCATTGCTCAGTCTCTTCAGTTATAGAGCCTTTCTGTCAACCTCTGTGTTACAGATTATCTTGTTTCTAGATGGCACTGGCATCTACTGGCTTATTTTTAAGTCACTCAGTTTTGCTATTAATTTATAGACCTTTATTTGCTTTCTATTCTAAAATTTCCTAATACTTTTTGTCTGCTGGTGTCTTTTTATATTTTTGTTTTTATGAGTGTTTGCCTCCCTTCCCCCTTTTACTGTCATTTTAATGGAGTTTCAGAATATGTAGAAATAAATACATTAATTAAATTTTTGTTCATTTTATTTTTGTCCTGTTATTCTAGGCTCTCCAAATTTTACGTGTTTATCATTTCATCCTGTTATCCTGTTTGTCACCTATTCTTTGTTTTTTTTTTTTGAGACAAGGACCCAGACTGAAGTATAGTGGCATAATCATAGCTCACCACAGCCTCAGACTCCTGGGCTACCGTAAGCCTCCTGCCTCAGCCTTCATCGTAGCCAGGACTTCAGGCATATACCACCACATCTGGCTAACTTAATTTGTTTTTTTTTTTTGTAGAGACAGGGTCTTACTGTTTCCCAGGCTGGTTTCAAACTCCTGGCCTCAAGTGATCTTCCTGCTTGCCTTCCCAGAGCTCTGGGATTACTGATGTGAATCACTGTGCCTGGCCTTGTTTCCTCTTATTTTACTGATTTGTGAAGTGTGCAAGGTTACATTTAAAAGCACTTAAAGCTGCATGTACCTATAAATGTTATTTGTATCTGAGCTTTCTTTTATACTGTGAGAGTAGGCTTGAATAAAGCGTCTAGTTTATAATAGCACATTTCTGAAATCATGTCAATAATGGTGGAAAAATTCATAGGTGTTAGTGATGTTATGTTGTTGATAATGATAAGCTAAATTATTGGATGGTTATTCAATGCCAGGTACTAAATATTTTATTCTTACTCTTTTTGTTGATGATTTTTTTTTTGTACTTCCTTTTAGAAGAAGCCTGGAAAATTTATAAACAGATAATGATGCATCATGAAAGACTTGTAAGTTAATTCTCATCTTTTTCTGTGAAAATATAGACTGAGGAAAAACTCAGAAAATCTACAAAACTGAAAAGTATTTCCTCTGAACATAATCATTGATTCTTCAAGACTACACTTCTATGTTTGGGACTCAGTTGAAAAGAGTTTGAAACATAATTTATACTTATACATAATTTACACTTAAATATGAGAGGAGCTGTGTAAGAAAGAAACATTAAGAAAGAATAAAGTGAGAATGTGTATTCATCCCTTTTTTATAATCATCTCAGGGTACATAAAGTGAGAAAAGTTTTATCATTAATTTAGCTTCATTAGATACCTGAGAATTAATATTGAAGAGAAACCATATGAATTTAGTGAATGTGGAACAGCTTTCATTTTTATTACTTCTTAGTAGATAATAGGGAAATATCCTGGGAGAAAATTCGTGTGCATGATAGGAATGTTGGAAAGCCTTCAGCATGAATCAGATCTCCTTCAGCATGATCAAATTCATACTGGCAGGAAACTTTATGAATGTAATGAATGTAGAAAAACCTTTAGCCTGAAGCAAAACCTCATAGAACATAAGAAAATGCATACTGGAGAGAAATCTCATGAATGTACTGAATGTGGTAAGATGTTCTCTCGAGTCTCATCCCTTACTCTACATTTGAGAAGTCATTCAGGAAAAAAATCGTATAAATGCAAGAAGTGTGGAAAAGCCTTCAGCCAGAAGGGAGAATTCCTTTCTCATCAGAAACAGCACACGGGAGAGAAACCTTATGAATGTGGAAAAGTTTCTATTCAGATGCCAACCCTCATCACACACCAGAAAAATCACACAGGAAATAAACCCTATGTATGTAAGGAATGTGGGAAGGCCTTTAATAGCAAATCATATCTCACTGAGCATGAGAAAATTCATACGGGAGAGAAACCATTTGAATGTAATCAATGTGGAAGAGCCTTTAGCCAGAAGCAATACCTCATTAAACATCAGAACATCCATAGTGGAAAGAAACCCTTTAAATGTAATGAGTGTGGAAAAGCCTTTAGCCAGAAGGAAAACCTTATTATCCATCAGAGAATCCATACAGGAGAGAAACCTTATGAGTGTAAAGGGTGTGGGAAAGCTTTCATTCAGAAGTCAAGCCTCATTAGACACCAGAGAAGTCATACTGGAGAGAAACCCTATACATGTAAGGAATGTGGGAAAGCCTTTAGTGGAAAATCAAATCTCACTGAGCATGAGAAAATTCATATTGGAGAGAAACCTTATAAATGTAATGAATGTGGAACAATCTTCAGGCAGAAGCAATACCTCATTAAACATCACAATATTCATACAGGAGAGAAACCCTATGAATGTAATAAATGTGGAAAAGCCTTCTCTCGAATTACATCACTTATTGTACATGTGAGAATTCATACAGGTGATAAGCCTTATGAATGTAAGGTATGTGGGAAGGCCTTCTGCCAAAGTTCATCTCTTACTGTGCATATGAGAAGCCATACAGGTGAGAAACCCTATGGTTGTAATGAATGTGGGAAGGCCTTTTCTCAATTCTCAACTCTTGCTCTGCATATGAGAATCCACACTGGTGAAAAACCTTATCAGTGTGGTGAATGTGGGAAAGCATTCAGTCAAAAGTCACATCACATTAGACACCAGAGAATTCATACCCATTAAAGCTCTGTGAATGCCCTGGACTTAGGAGAACCTTCAGTAGAATTCATACCTAATAGTATATCGGAAAATTCATTTTACATTAAAGTGACATGAATGTGGGAAATCCTTCAGCAGCAATTCCAAACTTCAAATACTGTGATGATTAAGAAGTATTACAGTATAATGAAAACCTGCATTCCCCAAACTCTGACAACAAACTTTATTTGTGCTGTACTTTTAGGAGCATTCTCACTGAAGTTAGAATCCAGTCATGGACACTAATTAGCATGTTCCTGGAAGGCATACCAAATGCATTAAGAAAAAAAGAGGTATAAGGTTTTGAAATTGAGAGTCATAATTATCAATTTTTTTGTTATATGCTTTGCTGCATATATGATTTATAATACTATAATCATAAAAATAATTTGTTGTTGAAGGGGTCATGGAAAATTGAGATTGGGACAGAGTATTGAATCTAGAAATACATGAAGTTATGAAGAATTGGGATGATTGATAGAGATGGCATACAAAATTGGTGGGGAAATCATGGAAGATTTTTTTAATGGTCTCAGGGTAATTGACTCTTCATATGGAAAAGTAATAGATATTATCATATGGTAAAACATTTATTTCTTACGAATTCCAAAAGTATTAAGAACTAAAATGTAAAAGTCAAAACTTAATAATATGAGTTTTATAGAATGTTTTTAAAACCTTGAGGTAGGAAAGAATTCCAAAACATTCCAGAATACCCAGCAGTTCCACTCTTGAGTACAGTAGTCCTCCTTTTCCTGCAAGGGACACCCTCCAAGTACCTCAGTACATACCTAAAACCCAGGTGGTATACTATGTATACTATGGTTTATCCTATACTTACATACCTATGATAAAGTTTAATTTACAAATTAGGCACAGTAAAAGATTTAAAAAACAGTAAAATAGAACAGTTAAAGCAATATACTATAATATGTGAATCTGCTCTCTCAAAATTTTGTACTGTACTCAACTATTTTGGACAGTAGTTGACCATAGGCAACTGAACCATGGAAAGTGAAGTTGAAGATAAGGGGAGACTACTGTATATATACATTTACCCAAGAAGCTGACACATGTACAGAGTCATGTATCAGTATGTAGCTGTATAATATAATCCATCGCAACATAAGTTATATAGCGAAAACTTGGGAAACAAATGCCTGTTACTTGTGAAATAGATGAATAAAATGTGATATAGTAACGGTAGAATACTCTAGCAATTAAGTACAACAAATTGTCTATATGTATTAACAGAGAAACAGAAAAAATGTAAAGTGAAGAAAAATGAAGTAATGAACTTACTGTAATGATACTTGTGTGTTTAGTAAAATCAGCACTAACCAACCCTAATACTAAGCATTAGTTATGGATACATTTTTATGTAAAACTATAACGAACGCATTGGAAGGATACAACGCACTGTAGGGAGAACGGAAACAATACTAAGGGGATACCTCAGTTTTGTGTCTAAATATCTCATTAAAAAGAAGAAGATTCCAAGTAAATGTATTAAAGTATTGGTTAATTCTGGGTTGTGGTAATATATGTATTCATTCTATTATTTATGCTATTTTTTTTCCTTAAACTTCTGAAAAATTTAAAGTTCCACGTAGGATTGAAGAAGCAATATACAACATATATAGACTTACATTTGCAGTTTTATACTAAGGTGTTAAAAAGAATTCTACAATCTATTTAAAATATGAAATAATTTTTTATTGGAGTGGCAACTTAAAAATGCAGTCATTTAAATTTACTGTGTCACTAATTTGTTTATAGTCTCAGAAGGTTAATCACATTTCAGGATCATATAATAAAATAATACATGCACGGACTTGGAGAGAATTCATTTTTACTGAAACATCAGAAATTTTAATACTCTGCATAACCAATATTGCCATTAGAAATTAGATGTTTTTAAATGAGGAAACTGTGTTACTCATGCATTTTTTATAAGCCATTGAATAAAGCATCAGTTCCCAGATTTTGGCTTTAATTTTTTTTTCTTTTTTTTTGCTAATTTTTGCATTACTTGGATCTCTGGTTTCAGCTTCAATTTTAACCTACAGACTTATTTTTTTTTCTCTAGTCTGTCAAACACATCCAGTCAGTCCCCACTGCCCTTAGTTGTTCCTTGGGAAAAATAGTGCCGAAGAGGGAACTCTCAGACCTAAACAGTGTTGTTTTATTTGGAGCAAATCTTTGAGAATGTTTACTTGGTGTCTTTTTTTTTTTTTTATTCTCCTAATTTTAAAGATGTAGGGTACAATTCAGGGTTAGGTATACAGATGGTCATTGTGCAGGTAAAGTTTGGATCTCACTTTGGTCCCCACTTCACCTGCTTTGAGATCAGATACCCTCATTGATGAAGTGTGCCCCCCCCCGTTTGGTTTCTTTCCACATTAACTTGACATTTAATGTTCTTTTTGAATAGTGGTAAAAATGAGTACATAGCATTTAAATGTTAGACTGATTTTAAATATATTCTTTTAAATTCACTAAAATATTAATATAACTGTAGCACTGTTTATTAGCATTTTTGAAGGTTGATCTTGAGATAAGATTGAAAATGGCAGTTGTTGATTTCCTGAGGTAATATACCCCAGTAATATACATGTATATCTATATGAATCTAAACTATTCTATTTTCTTTCATTCCCTCATGTTGCTTTATTTATATATTTTATATTTTTTAAGTTCTGCCAATGTGATCACACAGCTTTGAAGTCACTAGAGCCACTAGGACTCTAATTCAGATGAAACTAGAAGGATGACCTCTTGGTGCCTTGAGTTGGCCAGGTCCATGACCCAGTAACAATAATGATTATGATGTCAGAGTAAGAGGAGCAATTTTTTCATAGTATTGTGTGATATCAGATACTGTAAGCTTAATACGGCCACCCCACTGTTGATTCACTTGTTCATTGCCACCGTAAACATTCATATTATCAGTGCTTCAATTTCAGATGTTTTATTTATGTAGGATAGATTACAGGGAAGAGATTGCTGGATCAAAGGATATATGTTATTTTTAAAATTTAATATAAGCCAGGCTCGGTGACTCAGCCTGTAATCCCGCGCCTTTGGGAGGCTGAGGTGAGTGGATTGCCTGAGCCCGCGGGTTTGAGACCCGCCTGGGCAACTTGGTGAGACCTCATCTCTATAATAAATCAAAATGAGCCGGGCGTGGTAGCGTGCGCCTGTAATTCCAGCTACTTGGAAGGCTGAGGTGGAAGGATCGCTAGAGCCCAGCAGGTCGAGGCTACAATGGCTGGGAGCGGCCACTGCACTCCAGTCTGAGTGACAGAGTGAGACTCCAACTCAAAAACAAACAAACAAACAAACAAAAAATTTAATAGATGTTATCAGAGTTGTTTCCAAAAGGCCAACATATTCTTAGCCCTGCAATAGATAATATATTGCTTAAATTTTGGCTTCTTTGATGAGTATAAACCTCACTTGCTAATAGATTTGCTTCTTTGTGAATTTTCATATTGTTAGCTCATTTTCCTATAGGATTATTTATCTTTTTGCTATTTTAAAGACATCTTTATATATTAAACTTAAGGAATTTTTAAAGTTTTTTTGTCATAAAAATGATTTTTTCCATTATTTTTTTTTTCCTTAAAGCCAGGATCTCACTCTGTCATCTAGGCTGGAGTGCAGTGACATGATCACAGTTCACCACAGCTTGACCACCTGGGCTTAAGCAATCTTTCCATCACAGCCTTCCAAGTAACTGGGAACGCAGACACGTGCCACCAGGCCTGGCTAACTGTTTATTATTCATAGAGATGAGGTCTCGCTATGTTGCCCAGGCTGTTCTCAAACTCCTATCTTAAGCGATCCTCTCGCCTGACCTTCCAAAGTGCTAGGATTATAGGCCACTGCACCTGACCTTTTTTTCTTTTTTGAGTTAAAGTCTCACTCTCACCTAGACTGGATGGAGTACAGTGGCACTATCACACCTCACTGGCAGCCTCAAACCCCTGTTCTAAATCAATCTTCTCAGCCTCCCTAGTAGCTAGTACTACAAGTGCATGCCACCATGCCTGGCTAGTTTTTAAAATTTTTTTGTAAAGATGTGGTCTCACTATGTTGCCCAGGCTGGTCTTGAATTCTTGACATGAACCAATCTTCCTGCCTCAGCCTCCCAAAGTGCTGGGATTTCAGGAATAAGCCACCATGGCCAGGCCATTATTTTTTTACTTTCTATATAATCAGATATATCTTAATTTTTTCAAAGTTTCTAGATTGGTTTAAGAAGACCTTTTTACTCTAGATTTTCTATATAATTTAAAATTTTTTCTTGCAAACTTTATGATGTTCTTTTTCAATGTGTAACTAATGAATCTAGAATTTAGTTTTTAACATCATGTAAAATGAATGTTCACTTTCTTCCAAGTGGGTTTCCAATTACACAAAAAAAACCTTGCTAAAATAATCCATCTGTTTAGCAGCCAGTCACACATAATCTGCCATATCCACCAACAGCAGTCATAGGTTTGAATGAACAGTCAACAGAGTAGGGTTTAACCCATCACCAGGTTTATTAGCTTCACCAGCGCATGAAAACACTTCCACAGCAAAAATCAGTCCTGCAACTGTATGAGCAAGCACAGTTTATAGGGTCTAACACTGTGCAGGGGTGAAGAGGTCAAAATGGGTTTGGTTTATCCTGTCACTGGGAAACATTCTCATCCAGGACATCTTACAGTAGTCCAGCTGCATCTTCTAGGGTCACCATCACATAGGGCAGAATTGGAGGTGATGTGGCTGATACTTAAAACCAATGATGCCACTGCCTTGGTTTCCCAAGACTTAAAATGACTTAGTCACCTAGGCTGTCAATGTCTGTGTAAATTCACAGCATTCTCCAGGTGCAGGCTGCAAATCAGGAGGTTACAGTGGTATACTTCAAGGAAACAGTATGGTAAAGAGGCAAATCATCTTTCCTGATGTGGATCAGTGGGAAAGATTGCTCTTGACTCTTCTAATACCATCTTTTAAACTGAAACTGCCACGTAATCCTTTACTCATGTGATCCTTTCCCCTTTCAACTGAAACTCACATACTAAATTTTCATTTGTGCCAAGACCTTTTTCAATTTTGTTGCACTAATCAATCTGTTTTCCTATTCCTATACTAATACTACATTAATAACTTTCTCTTTTCAGAGACAGGGTCTTTCTCTGTCACCCAAGCTGGAATGCAGTGACACATTATCTAGCTCACTGCAACCTCAAACTTCTGGGCTCAAGGGATCGATCCTTCTACCTCAGCTTCCCAAGTAGTGGGATCTCAGGCACATACCACCACACCCAACTACTTTTTAAAAAGTTTTGTGGTGACAGGGTCTCTCTATGTTGCCCATACTGGTCTTGAACTCCTGGTCTCAAGTGATCCTCCCACCTCGGCCTACCAAAGTGCTGAGATTACAGGTGTGAGCTACCTTGCCCAGTCAATAACATTAACTTAACATTAGCCTTATTACATTTTGGTATTTCATAATAAAATATCTCTCTTAATGTTTTTTCATAGTTTTATTGGCTAATCTGTTAATTTTCTTTCTATGTAAATGAATATAGTTTTGTCAAATTAAAAAACCAAAAACTCATTGGTATCTTAATTGGAAATGCATGTAATTATTTTTTATTTGGAAGAATTGACATTTATATTAACAAGTGCTTTTGCACTTATTCAAATTGTGCTTCCTGTCCTTCAGCATGAAGCTTCTGTATAAAAAGACTTGAAGTGCAACCCTGCATA